AGGCTGCCTTTGCTTCTTCCCCTGCCTCACTCTCCTTTCAGGTTTCTTCTTTCCACTGACTTCCTGCAGCAGGGCACCTTTGGGTGCCTGCTTGGAGCAGGCCTTGTGAGGCCTGCCATTCAAAGAGCCTGAGTAGGCAGCAGAGGCAGTCTGCAGGTGGTGGTACTCTCCAATCAGAAGTCAGATGGGCACAAGGAGACTGCCTGATTGGGGAGTTGCTTGCAATAAGGGCAGGCTTGAGCAGTAAAGCCAGCAGCAGTTGCTGCAAGCAGCCAGAGGGAGAACACTGCTTGGCTGGAGCTGCTGCCCAGGAACACCCAGAGGACAAGGTAGAAACTGTGGGGATGGCAGGAGGTTCCTGGTCCTGGAGCATGACCTAAAACTGCACCCTGCTGCGGTTGGATGGTGTGGTAAGGCTGCTTCTGGCAGGCCAGCTTCCAGGAAATGCCACACCTGTGCCTCCCCAGTGAAGGGTGAGTATGGGGTGCCTGAAAACCTCAGCTCCTGCTTCCTTGTGGGTTACCCTGTGGGAACACACCCTGACAGAAAAGCACACAGGCCCAGGCCCACTGAGTGAGGCCTGAGCCAGAGTACAGGTAAGTTGACAAGTGCCTGAGGCCCAAGGGGTGTCATGTCCCAAAGGGTCCACGTATGTTGACAGACGCCTGAGGCCTGTGCAGCCATAGGCTGAGTTAGGGAGGCCCACATGAGTCATCAGACACCTGAGGCCCCAGTAGGGGGGCAGAGCAGAGTTATAAGGACCCGGCGGTGGTGTAGCGTATAGTCTGAAGGGCTGCACATAAGCTGTCCAGTAGTGGCAGCCAGCAGCAGTGTAGAGTAGGGCCTGAAGATGGTCCAAACGGCTGCACAGAAGCTGACTGGTAATAGAGTATGGGGCCCCAATGAGGGGCACGAGTTAAAGGCACAGGTATGAATTAAAGGCCCAGGCATGTTCAAAGATGCCTGAGGTCTAGTTTAGGCCAGAGCGGCCCAGCAAGGAACCAGGGGAGTAGAAGAAAATTTGTATGCCATCTGCAAGCCATGGGACACAGTGTAGGGCACTGTGTAATATGTCCTTGGCATCAGGGTTTAAAATGGGCAGTCTCCTGCTTTAAAAACAAACAATTTTTTGTTTACATCAAGGTGTGGCAGAAAAGTATAGATGAGCAGACTGTCTAGACATGGAGGTGGGCTGGCATGGTGTCCAGCCCTGCTAGATATCCTGCTACACTTCCCAAATGTCCTCCTAACATTTTCATCTTCCAGTTGTTAATAATAGTTATTGTCCATTCATCAAAGAAAAAGAGCCACTGGGATGGTTCTTAGATTTTGGAAACCAGTGATGCCAGTTGGTCCAGTGGGGACCCTTTCTGTGTCATGAGCAAGGCTCATGCATAGCACAAGCGATTTAGAAGCTCCAGGGTTCTCTGCATTATGGAGAAAGGCAAGGGACCAATTCCTTTGAATCTGCATTGATTGGGCTCTAAGTAAGACCCCCTATCCCACCCTTCCCTGATGTAACAACTGCTGCTTCTGGGAGGGTTTGGACCTCTTTAAACTCAAAGGAAAGCAACGTAAGGGTTCCCTTGTAAGGCGCAGTGGTAGTGGAGCAGAGGAGGGGGGAAAGGAAAGGTTAATGGTGCGTCCCGTTGCCAGGTTGTGGCTGGGGACTGGGAGGCAAACCTTGCACGCCACCCTGTAGGGGCAGTTCTCTCCCAGGCCCAGAGGCGGCGAGATCACCCGTACTAATTTGTACATATCCTTATACGAGATCCTGCCGCTGTAAAGGAAGCACAGGTGGGTTAATAGGACACCGAGAGAATGAAGAAGAGGAAACGAGAGCTTAAGTGGGGGTGAGGAACACACTTCAGGCCAAGAACCCAGAGGTCCATATCTCTCTCTGCTTGGATCCATCAGGCCCAGGCAGAAGAGAGCTGTGAAAAGTCACTTCCATTTAAGCAGAGCTACCACCTTCTTCATTCCATGTAGTTTAGCTTCCATCACTCTTACCCACTTTGGGAGTACCCCACTGGAAAGTTTTGGTACTAACAGTGCACCAGCCCGGGCACCCAGCATCCCATTCCATTGACCAATAAGGCCATTTTAGCAAGCCCATGGCTGGTCAGAGAGATTGGAAATGGGCCAGTATACTAGTACACAAGGACTGGTTTAAGTTTTGACAGTATTTAACACTTTTGTAGAATTGAGCCTGATTACACCATCAGCAAATTTGGCCCTATAGAGTCAGTTCATTCAAAAAATTATTGAGTTAATCTTTATTACATCCCAAGGAGGTTAGTAGCTGAGTCACTCTTATCTCCAGTTTCTGGGGAATCAGAGGCAGGAAGCAGCGAAGTGACTTGTCCAAGGCCAGACAGCTGGTCAGTGGTATGGATGGGATCAGAACTTGGGTCTCTTATTTTCAGTCCCATGCTCTGACCACCAGGTTGTGCTATGCCAAGGACACACTTTACTGCAAGCTGACAAAACCAGAGAATTGAGTGTCCCCCAAAAACAAATGCATTCATTTTGGGATGCAGCCCAAATCTTTATTAGATTAGCATAAATATCTAAACAGCTGAGTAGAGCAGAAGGACCTACTGTACAGGTGCAGTCAGATACTGAGTTCCTCCTACCCAGCTCCAGATCAAAGCCTTTCAGAAAATGGAAGTTTACTGAGCAAGATTGAGGCACAGGAAACTGTAGGCCCCCTGCCCATTATTGGGAAAGTCATGGAAGAAAGCTGTCATAAAGATACATTTAAGGATGTGCAATATGCTATCTTAATACTGCGTGGGACATTTGTTTCTTGTTTCTCTTCCTTTTCTTCCCATTCTCTGTGTAGTTTTTCATCATTGGTCAGAACTTGTCTAGGCAAAATCATTCACAACAGAGGCCAGGTATCTGAACCAGGAAGTGTGCATAGTGTCCTTACAGGTTCCTTGTTTAACAGAACTGAGGGCCTTTGGCAACATCTTTCAGTCAGAACTTAGAGCTCTATCTCGGCCTGTTGATCCCTAGTCACTCTTCCCCAGTTACGGGTGGGTATTCGAGCTGCCACGAGATTCTTTGGTGCAGAATCCAAGCATCCTGATTTCAGGATTAGCCTCAGAAGAACTTGCTTCTTTCCCTGGATTTTCCATACTAGCTGGCTCATGAAAAACAGCACAGATACTCAGTTCAATGAGACCTGCATGAGAGTTGGCACTGTACCATATTTGCAAAGTATAGGCAGTGGGGCTGTACAACAGGTTCATTTTTTTTTTCCTGGACTCGGGAATACTTGGTAGCAACCAACTTTCAAATGCAGAGGGAGCTAGGATAAAAAAAAAATGGCTGAGATCAAGAGGTCCACTTCCTAACAGTTCATGGTGAAAAATTCAGCATCCTAACCTTTGCTGCTTGGACCTTCTAAGCCTCCTCTCCCTTATTACAGCTTCCTCTCTCTACAGCTGACCTACAGTAACAAGGGCTGAAGTCTTAAAATTGTACCAGGCATGTGCATCTGATAAGACGACCACTCTGTTTACCGCAGGATTGGCATTACCTTCAAACCTTCAAGGCTTTTGATGCTGTAACCCTGAAGCAGTCCCAGGAAGAACTTTCAGTCATCTTAATGTAAGACTGTAAGGCTGAACCCAACTGGAAAAAGTGCTGAAATGGAGCAGTCCAGGAATGCATGATAATAGAACCAATTTAAAAGTTAGCTCTTCGGAGGCAATAAATTAGGTTTGAACAGTGGATTGATTCTAGTTGGTGTGTTTCCAACTGTCAAGACTTCCAGAGCTGACATCATTCCTGGTTCCTGGTACAGTGACTAGTGTAATATGGTTTCAGAGACGCCGCTCAAGGAAGTGAGCCAAACCTGACAGAAGACAGTGCTGAGAAACAGGCTGCCCAGATGGTGCCCCAACGCTGATGGGATGTGGGACTAAGTGGGGCCTGCCCAAAATGCACAGGGTGCCAAATGCATATTCAGGCTGCAATGAGGACATTAATAGTATTCCTGAAGCCCATGAGCTTGGAGCTGTCAAAGGCAGCCCTAATACATTCCCAATATAGCTGAGGAGTAGAGCTAAATTAGCTGTCCTAGAAATGCCCTGGTGACCTTCAGGATGCAGGCTGAGGACAGCTTTCTTGAACCTTTACACTGCCATTGCTCTGTGGGAGCAGAGCCAGGAGAGACCATTCTACATCCTGCCTTCTCCTGTCGGGTGGCAGGAACAGAACTACTTGCCCAAAATGGAAGCTGTTTTTGAAAGAGTCATCAGAGGACTGCCTGAGCCAAAAGCCTTCTCTTGCCTCGAGAGGGAAGGGTCATATGTACTGGCCAGAACAAAAAACTGGTCCAATCCTCAGACAAACCTCTACCCAAACCACATCATCAAATCAAATTTTTCTAAACATTTAGTTGATAAGTTAGCAGGAGCCCAGCTGTGACAACAGCCTCCCTACCAGGCTCTCTCATCCATGTGAATGGCAATTTTGCATTTATAGTTCACGCTGCATGCAAGGGCTGGGGAACATAGAGGTCCTTGAAGGCTGTTTTGAGGGCATGGAAATCTAAATGGCAGAAGAAAATAGGGAAGGAGGAAGATCAAGAGTCAAAAGTCAGTGGATGATGGTGTGAGAAGACAGAGCAGGATGGCCAAGCTGCCAAAGGAGCTTTGGAGAGGAACGTGGCAGGAGTTGCCAAAGGTTTGGATAAACATTGTAGCATTATATGCTTATCAGAATGGAACCACAAAACCTTTGGACATTCACCAGTTACCAGCTACCATAAAAGCAGGGTGCCCATGGAGCGATAAGGCTGACCATGCACTCCAGCATGGCTCTGTACCATTGGGCATCCCAGGAGCTCTCTGGTTTTTCCTGCCACAGCTGTGTGAGTAAGCAACTCCAATAGCCTTTCCTGACTGTCCCAGATATTACAGCCAAATGGGTTCCAAAAACAAGGCCTCTGAGAGATCAGGAAGAGGCAGGGGAGCTTAGCAACATACCATGCGGCTCTGTCATACTCCGCCCAGATCCGGACAAATTCGTCTAGGTGATGAGGCCCCAGAATGGAGGAATCCCGAGTCAGGTATTCAAAATTGTCCATTATGACCGCCACAAACAGATTGAGCATCTAAGTGGAAAGGAAGGAAATGGGGAGAAAGGAATGGAGAAGGGGAAAGACAAGAGGAAGATGGTATGTGTGAAAGAGGGAGGGAAGAGAGAAGAAAATGGAATCTGTAAATAAAGAGTATAGCAGTCTTGAGTCTGTTCCTTCCTCCCCTTGCACAGTGCTCTCCTTGAAGTGCACGCTGGGACCCTATGCTATAGTACCAATTTTCTCATAAATCAATACTTTTATTTTCAAACAGAAATAATTTGATTCTTTTTATGCTGTGTTAAAACAGAATGGTGTTATACATTGTATACTTAAAATAGAACAGTGAAGCTGAAAGGGTCCTCACAAGGCCATCTAGTCTGGTTCCCTGTTCTAGGTAGGATCATCCATGTCTAAACCATCCCAGACAAGGGTCTATTTAACCTGCTCTTAAAAACATCAAAAGATGGAGATTCCACAACCTACATAATTAATTCCACAGCTAACCTACCCTCATAACTAGAAAGTTATTCCTAATATCTAACCTAAATTTCTCTTGCTGAAATTTAAGACCATTATTTCTCATCCTGTTCCCTGAGGACACACAGAAGACTATCACCATCTCTGTTATAAAAAAATCTTTCTGTATTTGAAGACATATCAAATCTCCACCCCATCCCCCCAGTCTTCTCTTCTTCAAACTTATTACCCAATCTTTCCTTGTAAGTTATGTTTTCCAGATCACTCATCATTTTTGTTGCTTTTCATCGGACTCTTTCCAATCTGTTCACATCTTTCTGGAAGTGCAGTGCCCAAAGCTGGACACAGTACTCTAGGTAAGGCCTCAACAGTGCTGAATGGAGTCTAAGAATCACTTGCCAGGACTTGCATACAATATTTCTGTTAAAAGTAGCTCAGCTAGGGTAGAACAAATGAGTGCCAACTAAGAGGGGGTGCCAGTCTTTATCATGGCAACAGCGGCCTCTGAATGCCCCACCATTACCCATCAGGAACTTAATGAGCTTGCTATGCCTCTGCCTGTTAATAGATAATACAACCCAGTATGCTATTGGCTTTTTTGTTGTTGTTGCAATACTAGTTATACTGTGGACTTGCATTCAGCTTGTATCCCACTATAAATTCTAGGTCCTTTTCTGCAGTACTGCAACCTAGCCAGTCACGCCACAGTTGTACTTGAACATGAGATTGTTCCACCCTAAGTGCATAATTTTGCACTTGTCCTTACTCAGTTTCAACTGATTGATTTCAAACCATTTTTCCAATTTATCAAGGTCTTTCTGGATCCTAATTCTGTCTTCCACAGTGCCTAATACCATATGAAGATTTGTGTCATCTGCAAATTTACAAAGCCTGTATCAGTTTGGTCTGACAGAAGCATCAGGGAGGGGAGTCCATCTGCTTTGGTTCCAAGAGTGGCCTGTCAATATTACATATTTGAGGTGCTGCAATTGCACTGTAGTGCAGAGATACCTGTGCTACTTTTAAACTAATTGGCTTGGATATAGGTAGTAGCCTAGCCACTACAGTGTAGAGCTCAGAACAGACTGTAATAATGTGCCCAAGAAGCTGGGTTAAAACAAGGGCTGTTTAGCTGCTGTATCTGCTGCAGCTACATTAGGTACTACCTATACTTCACTGTCACACAGATGGAACCAAATCTCAACACAGTGGATCCCGCCATCAGGGAGCAGCTGAGGGCAGGGTGGAGCTGGAAACATCCCTTGATCAGAATCAGTCCATGACAACAAGTCCTGAGGACTGAGGATTGATGAGGTACAAGGAAGGAAACTCACCAGGAATGAGCAAAAGAAGATGAAGGAGACAAAGTAAACATAAGCCAGGTCAGTGCCGCAGCGCTCATTCTCATTCTGTCCAGATGTCGCTGTAGTGTCGGGCTCACAGCCTTTGCCTTCCAGGCATGAAAGCATGATCTCTTGCCATGCCTCACCTGTGGCACTCCTGCATCCAGAACACACCCACTGTCAGCACCAGCCCACGACTGCCCCGCTTTGCCCCACAACATATAAGTAACGTTCTTGAGGACTCACTCATCTCCCCCTTTCTAAGATTAAAAACACCACCAAGTTATGCTCTGAGGTTTTGGACTGCAGGCATGCCAGCTGCTTTAGACAATACCATGACATCTCCTTGGTAAACTAAACTGCATAATATTATTTCATGATAGGAGAAGCTAGTGACCTGATGGTGCTGGCAACTCCTTTCAACTCCCTTCTACCTAGCAGGACTGCAGATAGCATTCCTATTTGAATGGAAAGCTAATAATGTTTTAAAACTGGTTTCATTGATATCCTTCAACAGCATGATCCATGAGCTGGAAATTGGTGGTGTGAATGCAGCCCTGAGGGAATGATCTGGGGGGCATGGGGGGAGGTCACAGATGTACATGCAACGCTCAAAGGCCTTGGTGGTGAGTGCATGGCCAAGTGATCTGTCATCTCTGCTTTCACTTCCCAGAGCCCGAGCCAGTGCTGACTCTCCTCAGCCAAGGCCAGAATTCAGCAATGTGGCATGGACAAAACAGGTGGGGCAAACTGTGACATCTGTTTGTAACTTGAGGGACACACATGTACCTAAAGAGGAGCATGAGGGAGCCCAAGAAGCTGCGGAAGTTGTTGTGTCGGTTTATGTGGCTTCCTTCATCTAGTTTGATATTCCCAAAAACCTACGAGCAGAAAGGAAGGAAAGAAGGAAAACTCAGCACATAAGATGTGCCAAGCCAGGAAGCAAGCCGACCTTCACAGCCAGCAACTCAGCATGGGCTGGAAACCGTTACCTTCCCTCCCACGCACCCATGGCGCAGACAGCTGGTCTGAGCATAATAGCCAGCACATCAGAAAGGCAACTTCATCTGCTGGAGCTGGCCCTTCAGAGAGGAGCTCTGCTGGCTGTCACCAGGGGCAGGCACTGATGCTCACCCACACCGACAGAGTCATACACACACACATTTAACACACACGTGTCCTGCTGGTGAGAAATGTACCAGGCCAGAAGCTGTTTCCTACAGAACAGCAGCGTACTAAAGCTGTTGAATGCTTTGCATGCTATCAAGAAGCTTCCTTCAAAGAAGGGTAATAACTCCCCAGATAACATTCCCTTCTCTCCTTCAGTCCATTGGTGCAACTTTCCCAAACCGACGAGACTGAACTTTTTATAAATAAAGGGAGAATATAAGCTGACACTTCTGGTACATGTGAACAATTGTGAAACACTCTAATTCTGTGATAATGGAAGCTGTAGAAATATCTAAAATATCTTCTGGGACAATTCTGGTGTAGTTCACCACATTTCCAGTATAAGCATCTTGAGAAAAAAGCAACGTCTGAATACAAGACTGGGGCCCAGAAGTCTAAATCCAACTCCGACAAGTATTTCCTTCTGTTGCAACAGGCAAAGCACGTAACCTCTTTGCCTCTCCATCTGTACAATGAATATATTGGCCAGGCATGGGACACTGCAAGCATGTTTCAGTTAAAAGACTATTATATGGAGATACGATGGATGTTACGGATATGTTGTATAATCAGAAATAATTTTGTCTCATTGCTTTAAGTGTTTGTATGTTTGTTGCTGGCTCACTTGGGCATAATTAACACTAATTCTCTAGCATGTAAGCCAGTGTGAGGAGTCTTGTCTCCTCAAAGAAAATGCATGTACTGGTTTGTTCTGTTTCACAAAACCAGACAAAGGTGAAGGGTTGGAAGAGAGAACTCTGCTCTTGGGCCAGAGGCACATGTACAGAGACACAGATTTGAACAAAAAAAAAAATCAGACAAACTTGTGTCTGCACATACCAGGATCCTACACAGGTGATGAAGGATACCTGGTTCTTCTAGCTTGTGTACAGACAGGTGTTTTCTCTGTAATGCTTGTATCTTAAAAGAAGTGCTACCCTGCTTTGCAAAAGCTGATTGGTCACTACTTCTCTCTTGCACTGTCCCTGACAGATAGCAAATCCATGGTAAATCAGACCTGCTAGACACCATCACAATGACTTGCAAACACCCTAGTCTTAAAGGGAAAGGATGCAAGCATTGTACCTGAGACCTAAGTGGACTGTCCATGAGGAGGTGGTTGAAGGGGCAGGGGCAATCAAAGGTATAGTTAACACTGAAACTGTGACCATACAGTAATGCTGACCTACACCCCAGCAATACTGCCAGGCTTAATTAGTTTATGCTTGTAAAGTAGTTTGAAGAGGGGAAGTGTTGTATTATTATCTTTAAATATTTATTCTGCTTTCTGTGTATCTAAAAATATGCTAACTGCGGAGTATTTTTCCACAAAGGTTTGGAACATATAATTGTATTTTCTGCCTCCAGCTATTTTGTTCAAATAACGCCCACTGATTCCACTGCTTGGGGATTTGCTCACAATGGTGTGAAAAAAAGCAACTACTATCACACTGCAGGGGGGGAGGAGCTGAATCATATGGCAGCTGGGGGAGGAGAAAAGACCTGGAGCTGGTGGGGGCATGTAGGGAAGGATGACCAAAAAACAGGTCACTGATATTCAACTTGGCAGAGGAAAAAGGAAGGAAGGCAACTTAAATAACCACATCTCCAATCAAAAAGGGAAGCCAGATTCTCTCCATCTTCAGAGCAGGTGGTAGCCGTGTCATCCAGAATTCACAAGAACACATTTCCCCACCTCCCAAAAGCACTTCACAACTGTGAACATCAGGCAGTTCTATTAGTTAAGACAGTGCCTACAGTTACAACATGATGAAACCCTGAACATTAATAGCCAAAGATGCCTTCTGAAAAATGTAGCTCTTAGGAAGTCAAATCACAAGACAGAACCTGGAGAGCACTTTAAGCTTATGCTTAACTTTAAGCACAGGTAGTCCCACTCATCTTAGTCCCTTTCACTCACAAGCTTAACTGCTTTAGTGGCTCTGGGCCTGAGAAACTGATTTTGCAAAATGCTGAGCATCTACAGTTCCTGCTAACTTCAATTGCACGATCAGCCCCTGACCACTGTTTCAGCAACGTGTCTGTGAATCTTCACCAGGGATCCACATTTTTCCATGATTAAAAAGAAAAAGGTACATATCTATATATTAGTGGTGTTTCATTTTAATCATGGAAAAATATGGATTCTGGGTTAGTTTTTTATATTGAAAATTGGGGATTTTTTTTTTAATCAAAGAAAACCAGGATCCCTGGTCTTCACACACAAATGCATATTGGACGATAGGGGAGTGTTTGTTGGTTTGGATCTCAGGCACAAAAGGCTCTCACATACTCTCTGTGTGAACTACCTTCTGCAGGTGGGTGACAGATGGTAGAAACTGAGAAATTTCTAAAGTCTTAGAAAGTAAAGAGATCTGATTTGAAAGGAACTTTCTAACCTGTCCTTTTGGGTTGCCCCACTGAGTCTGATGGGAATGTCTGATGATGCAATCCATATGAAGGATTCCATCCACGTGTTCTTCATCATTGCGGTGATGTCACCATGATGATGTAACCAACCCATGGAGTAGGGAGTCTAGATATATACTCTATAAGTGAATTTCTGAGGACACACACTGGCAACCTGTGAGTATATTAAATGCTGCACCTTATTAACAAGCTGCTTAGACCTCAAACCTCTGGGCAGCCTGATCTATTAAACAGGAACTAACTTGATAAGCAGATGCCAGACTCAATAATGCTGAAACAGGTGACAAAGGCCTTGTCTACACGAGACGCTGACTGCACAGTTATTACTGTGCCGTCATTTAGTACTTGTCATGGGCTACTGCGCAGTCAGTGTCTTGTGCAGATGCCGGCAAAGTGGAGATGCAGCCAAAGTGCAGTACTCTTCATTCTGTCAACTCCAGAGAGAAGCATCCCAGTACGTGAGATACATCCAGATATTTTGGCTTACCTGCATCCCAATGATTGCGTATATGAAGAAAAGCATAGCTATCAAGAGACAAACGTAGGGAAGGGCCTGAAAGATAAGTCACAAGAGTCTGATTTAGCACAGATAGAGGCTTCAGAATATTGCTTATCTTCAATAGTTTGTGAACTGTACTGACCCCCACCCCCAGAGGATACAGCAATGACTTACAAAAAGCTGGTCAGCACCTCACCTCCTGCTTCAACTTCACAATATTTTTCAGTGATTACAGAGGCCGTAGCCAAACTGTGTCTCATCACTGCATTTTATAAAAGACACAGACAAACACTTGGCATATGCAAAAGCACACCAGCAAGCACCCCTATTAAACAGCTGGCAAAGTGTGCCAGTTACTGACTTACTGACTTGTAAATGGACACCTTTCATATGCATCACAAAGACCTTCAAGGACTCTCTGCAGTGGGACAGACCTTTGTTTTTTACTGTGAGACAGGCTTACCATTTTGCCCCTCTGGAGTTAGAATTAGGTAAGCTAATTCTGAAAAGTTCAGATGTTTGTGTCAGCTAAACTGACTAAAATTTGGATACTGACTAAGATTTCTGATTCTTCCTGCAACTATCAGGTCAGAAGTGCCATGAGAATAATTCAAGTTTAGTAACTGTCCCAAACTTCTACACTGAGAAGCCAACACACCCCCTTTACCTTGAAAGACTGCACAAAGGTCCACAGCAGAATACGGATGGTGTAGCCCTGGCGGAGCAGTTTGATGAGGCGAGCAGCCCGGAACAGTTTCAGAAAGCTCATGTTGAACCCGCTGGTGTTTACCAACTGTGAGAAAACCAAACTATCAGAAGGCGGCCAGAACCACCACACCGAACCTACTTCCCAAAGACAGGCAGGGAAAGAAACCCACCCTCAAACTGCTACCACAATTCCACAGAGTCAAAATGCTCACCTTGGTGTCTGTCAAGATAATTTCTGTGATGCTGCCAATCACAGTGATGAAGTCAAAGATGTTCCAGGTGTCCCGGAAATAATTCTGCAGAGATCCGAAAATGAAGTTTTAAACACAAGATGTCAAGTCCAGATCGGTGCTAAACACATGTCAAGTCTCCTTGTATAACAGTAGTCAATATCATATCATCCCTCTTCATGCAACCGTGGTCCAGAATACTGTCCTACTGTTGCTGTGGACAAGAATGTCCACATAGTGAACAGGATTTTCTGAGGTGACTCATGAGCTGTATAAGCCAAATGGGTAAAAAAATCCCTCGTGGGCACAGAATTCTCTCGCATGCATAAGGATATCATTAAAGGGTTATAGATAAGAACAGGAAAAGCTACCTACTTGAAGGTACTAATATCAGTGGATGAAACCAGAGGTATATTCATCTATTTAAACATGCAACCAATTATTCATACACAATCTAGCACTTCCCTGGGTACCTACAACTCAGACAAAATCTTGAAGTTAGTGTAAGTTTTGTGTGAATGAGACTTTAAGGACTGGATCTAATAATAATACTTTGCCTTTCTGTAGCACCTTCCATTGGAGAAAAAGGGATTTAAAAAGGTAAGTGGTATTGTTCCCATTTTAGAAATCAGGACAGTGAGATGCAGAGAGGTTGAGAACCCAGCAAGCCAGATGTGGAGCCATGCACAGAATCCAGGTCTCCCAACTCCTAGTTCTGTGCTCCAAACACTGCATTATACAGCTTCTTAAACATTTATCTCAACTCAGCCGAGGGTGTTTAGTGTGCTGTGTGCACAAACACATGGGCTGCTTCTTTAGAAAATAACTCTCAGCCCTGGTGAACCTTTCTGTTTACTAGCACAACATTCTGTCTCCCTGTTATGGTGGGGGGTTACTCATTACGTATCGACTGCAGACCATCATATAAGTGGACCATCATTAATTTGCAGCAGGGCAGTTTTCAATCTGTGCATCTTGCAATCTAACAACAATTTGTAATGTAAATTTAATGGACAATGATGTGATGACAGTGGTTAGGATGCAGGTGTCCTGAGATCACGGTATCATACTAACCAATATTGTCACACTGATGATTTGTATTTCCCTGGGTGTCTTTTATCTCTCATAAGATGGTAAGCTCTGTGTGGCAGGAACCATCTTTTAGTTCTATGGTTGTACAGCATGGGGTACGGACCATTAGTTGGGCTTCCAGGCACAATAATAATAAGTATTCCACATGCTGGCTTAGGATAAGGGAGAGCAATCAGATTTCATCCACCAGGATGGATAATAAACAGAAGGAAACAGAATCAAAGAGCAAATCAAATTAGCTTTTCCAAAGCTGTGCAGGGTAGGTGAAGAAAAATGTGTTATGTTCACAAATAACAAATCCCTTATGTTTGAATAATAACATGATTCATTAAGAGGTGGATGATTCAAGGAATGGTAATTTGATAGAAGGCCTTTTACTGCCAGATCACCAGTTCAAATCAGGGTCAAGCTGACAAGTCAAAAGCTATCAATGGATGGGCATTTCATGGCCTATTCCAAAGGAATTGGTGGATTTACTTTAATACCTAGCAGAGAAGTGTTAACGTGACAACAGCCACCACCACAACAGACAGCAAGTGGCATTCTGGCTGGCAGTCTCAGCAGAAGGGCTAAAGACTCAATGGGGCTGGAAACTGAATTACTCAGGAGGTGGGGGATGACAATCTGATGGCTTTCACTAGTGTTGAATTCATTCAAAAGACCAAAATGACTAAAAATGAGAACAGTTTGCAGCAGTCGTGGGGGTGACTCTTAGCAGCTCTGATTGTATTAAAACTCCAGAGGTTCATCCAGAGATACTCATTCTGAAATCCTAAAAGCTCCAAAGATTGGCTCAGGGATCTGGAAGGATCTGTACTGAAAAACCAGGTACACATCCAGACACAGTGTGCTTCATGAGACTCCAAAGAAAGGTTCCAGTACTCAGGACAATTACAGTCCTCAATCAAATGTGAGAGCTAAATATCATTTGCATGCTGTAGGAAGATAATCCCATTCCAAATGCCAGAACAGCATACTAATTACAAACTAGGACACCAAAATCCTGTACCAGTGCCAGATCAATTGAGAATCTCATGCTGGTACTAAGTACTGGTAGTAACAACTTACCAAGAAGCCAAAAGCTATGATCTTCAGGACACATTCCAAGGAGAACACCATGGTAAATGCAATGTTCAGGTACTTCAAAGCCAGCTCATATGTATAGGGTGCAGAATAATACTGCCAGAAAGAGAGAGTTGTAACCATCTAATGAACAGCTACAGAAATGGAATCTTACAACAAGGCTCCCTGAGTTTCATAATAATGGGACTTGGTCTTGGACAAACCCCTGAGTTTCATCCCATGTGATGGATGGGATAAGGGTAAAACTCTTGTTATTTAAGCTGGCTACCATACATTCCCAGTAATGAAATAATGAGCCTTCCTTTCTCCTGATTAGCTCCATCTGGTAGGGAAGGGTGAGTAAGTGAAACTGAGGAGAGGAAGGGCACTCAATAATGGCAATCACTATTAGGTGTGAATCATAGAATAAACCCAGGTCATGCTGCAGTGAGTACCCCAATAACTCATGATGTCTCCTGTTCAAGGCACTTTTGTTTCAAAGAGGCTGCTTGTTACCCTAAATGAATCCTTTCTGGGAAAATTGCAAGTGGGCAATGCTTTTGTGTGCAAGTCTGTGGTCTCATAAGAGATTCCTCCAGGGTACAAGGAAAATTAGAAACAAAGAGAGACTCTTATAAAAATATGATAGTCTTAGCCTTCCTCTCAGTAAAAGAGTGAAGGAATACAAAGAGGAGGCCTCCATGTGGAACGCAGCACATTTCTGCACATGGAAGTCAAAAAAGTTAGATGTTGGTGAAAGAACTGCATTTGAGCAGGCAAATCATTTAGCCAGATATTTAAACCTGGAAGTAAAAAAGCATAGGTGAATTGTAAGGGGCCACATCAGGGTACTTTTGAAAGTCTGGCCTTGTATGTTATTGGGATTTATTGCCTTCCAGGTTCACTGCAAGAACTCAGCTCTATGGATTGAGTACAACATGCCTGATTGAATATTAAAGACAGTGTTGGAGGAGCCAAGATTGTGACCTCATCAGTTTCTTAGCCAACAGACATGATATAAAATGAAATCCTGGCACCATCTCCTTAAAAACAAATAACATGCTTTCTAAATCCCTTCCTGTATGCTTCTCCTCCCCCACAACTCCCCTAAGCAGGGGCAAGCCATTCCCAGCCTCTGATAAATTTGGTCAGCTCACCTTCATCATCAGCACCACAGTATTCAAAGCTATCATGGCCATGATGGTGTATTCAAAGGAAGGGGAGACCACAAAGTGCCAGACACGGTACTGGAAGGTATGTCGGTTTTGAGGCATGTAGCGAGTGAGAGGTTTGGCACTGATGGCAAAATCAATGCATGCCCTCTGGAAAAAAACAAAATCCATTAGCTTGGACTCAGCTTCTCTTCTTCCCGCTCGATGTCCTTGTGTTGACAGTAGGGTTTGGTGGACTGCAGAGAAACCAAGCAGAGGATCTGCCACGGGCACAATCCTCATATCCTGTCTGGGGTTATGAAGTCTATTCTGGGTATTAAACTACAGAAACAGTCCTACAGCAACTTGCTAAGTTAACTGAGCCGGACATAGGAAAGGACATGTCTCTGTAAGCAAAAGGTCTTTGTAAGATGAAGTTACATGTAGACGTTAATGTAGTGAAACAGTGTAGGATGTTCACTGTACTGTACTGTAAACTGTTTTGCTGCATTCAGACTGAATATAAAAGAGTTAATAATAATGATATTACTACAATAATTTACATTTGTATGGAACGATCAGACCACAAGGATTGTGTAGAATTATTGAGTTGTTACATTTTGCTCGTTTTCAGGAATTATAAAATATATCTATATCTATATATTTGTCTAATAATAATAATAACTATATCCTGAGCTAATGAACACATCGGTCCTTCAACTTTGGCATTTTTTTTTACACCTGGGTATGGTTATTGCCACAAACACAGGAAGTTTCTTCAAATTATCATCTGAAAATGCAAGCTCTTTGGCAGGAACTGCACAGGAAGTCCTTTTTCTTACATGTTAATTTATCATACTGTCACTGTATTATATCAATGGGTAATTGATCCATTTACTTCACTACATCTGTTGTGTAATGGAAAACAGTATTAGTTTAGCACGAATAAGCTATGGCTCACTATAACCAACAGAACAAGATAAAATGCAGATGAAGAAAATAATTTTCCTCTTAAAACCAAGGGGCAAAACCCTTGCTGGCTGTAAAGTGGGTGCGGGAGGAGTTATGGCTTCCTTGCTATTCCATCCTAGTAATGATGTGGGTGATTCACAGCAGCCACAGATGGGGCTTTTACAACAATGGCCCCCTTTAAAAATACCAGGGCAGCTTGGTGAACTGTTGGTGTGAAGGGGATCAGGACTGAGTCAGTAAGAATGATCCAGGAATGACTGAAATATCTGAGGCTCCAGAAAATACCTTTTCTTATATACAACACATGCTATTTTCCTAAAATTCAGCTGCTGGAAATTTGGATAGGTTTTCCCTTTCCCTCATAGAGCACCTATGAGCAAGTCTATACAGTAAGAGCAGTTTCTAATGGGGATAGGAGGGAGTGAAAGTAGTGCTGCTGTGCTGCACTAGGGGCTCCCTAGCTGTTGGCCTTGGACTTTTCTCTGCCCTTCACCCTCCCTCCACATGAGAGGTTCCTGCCGCAGAAGCAAGGAAAGATTGTTTGTTCTTCATGCAGCCTTTCAAAAACAAGGTGCATCTCTTATTTGGGAGGCTATTGTACATGAAAAATAAGGTACAGTGGGAAGGCACGCACTGAACAGAGTGTAGTTCAGGCTGAAGCGAACGTTACTGAACTTTTACCCATTTTCTCATCATATGCCTTATTTAGCCTTAGGGCTCTGCTCTCTGTGGGTTGCATCTGAAACTGTCTTTCCATAGCAAAGGGAAAATGAAACCATCTTTCATTTCACCCTGTGCTCTCCTACTTTACCCATGCTATGCATTACCTCATTCTTCTCCAGACTGCATTCCTCCATCATTTTGTCTCCTTGCTCCTGGAATGTGATGATAATGAGAGCCACAAAGATGTTGACAAAGAAGAAAGGGAAGACCACAAAATACACCACATAAAAAATGGACATCTCCATGCGGTTACTGCGGCTGGGCCCCCGGTCCTCCTCGGTCACATCCACGGAATGCTGCAGCACCCTGGAGCATGGGGCAAAGAGAAGCCCAGCGGGTCACACACATGATGATGGCAGGCCCATTCCAGATGCCTCCCCAGACTGTCTTTTACTGGGAGAGCATCACGTACCTAACAGAACCCCTTTCCAATATCTACCTCCATCTAATCCTATAGTGCGCATACTTGTCACATTGATAAAACAAACCAAATCCTTGCTAGAATGCCAAGAACAAGCTCATAAGGGTTGCTGCACTCACCATAGGAGGAGATATTTTCCCTCCTACATTACAAGAGCCCAGAACTATTTCCTGCGTCCAAATGAAGACACGCTGTGCTGGAGTTAAAGCATGTCACACGTGCAAAAGAGTGTCCCATAGCTCCCCAGTGTCACACATAAGGGCAAAGCCTGCCCAAGAGCTCCTCCAACATGGAGAGTGGAGTAACCAGCAGAGCTCCAGGTGTTTCATGCTCAGAGATGGATTGGCCCAAAAGTCCCCTCAGGCCCACTCAGAAAGGTGCACTGTCCCATAGTTAACTTTGCAAGAAGGGAGCTGATCTCACCACACCCACTGACTTGCCGAAGTTCTCTCACACTGATATCATTTCTCAACCTTTCTCCTTCCCCTCCTTTTCTCTCCCACAAGGAGAAACATAGATATTAACTCCACCACATAGCTTTCTGAAAGGGAAAATGTTAGGTTTCACTGTGAAACCTATGCTTATAGACACAGGCAAGCAAAGACAACCAAGTCTAATACTCACTGTGGCCACCCCTCTCCAGTGGAGACAGTGAAGAGTGTAAGTAAAGCCCAAATGATATTGTCATAGTGGAATTCATGGCGCTTCCATTCACGGCACTTCACTTCCATCTTGTTTTTCTCATGGTCCACATAATTGCCTCTGTAAGGTGAGAAGAGAACCTCAGGACTTCTTTATGCTGTCAGCACTGAAGAGGTGGGCTTCATGCTTGGGGCAGTATGGAAGGAAAATTACTGTCTTCATGCAGGTATGGAAAGGTTTTAGTAAGGACAGAAAATGAAGGGCATCGGACATAAGGAGAAAAAGGATGAGCAGGGTGAGGGAAGCAGAGAGGAGGGAAACAAAACAATAAAAAAGGAAAGTAACAGGATTGGAGAAAAATAGGGAAAACAAACAAGGAAAAACTTAAGAGATCAATGAAAGAGTAAAGGACAAAAGAGGGGAAGCTGGGGTGGGGGGTGGGGAAGGGTTGGGCTAGTAAAAGAGAATGGATTACAAGAGTTCAAAGCCCAAGTGGTCATTTCAGCAGCTGAAGCTATGGCTTCTTAGCCAGTCACGGGGCTAAATGGTAATGTTTTGTGCAGGACAACAATTAGGAGCTGACTTCTCTTCCTCCACATTCTAACTGAAAAAAAAACACTGAGGAAAGCACCAGGTGAAATGTGTTTCAACCTTCAGTTAAAGAGACCAGCTAAGGGAAGGCAGGGAGGCTCAGTGTTCATTTAAAGCTGGATTTCTTTGTACCGATCCCACTATGACTTCTCCCAAGATGGCACGGAGCAATCTCTCTGAAACACAGAGATTTCACCTCGGGAATGGAATGAGAGCAAGTGCTCTGTAAGGCCTCCTCTACATGAGTCTTCAAGCAACATTTTATAGGTTTGGTTGCTCAGGAAGTGAGGACTGTATGTAACCCATGACCAAGGATTGAATTCAGAACCCAAACTGGACAATAACCAGAGTTTTGAGGGGTTGGAGGGAGAGGGAAGAATGAGAATCCTAGACTTCTCAGGTACTTTTGGTTCTCAGCACACTAGATGGGAATGGATGTCTTTGCCATGAAAGCAGACTAGTTCATATATGCTGCTTGGTGTACCTACATGCAGTCCTTCTCGGTGTCCTTAGAGCTGTCTGTACAATAGAAAAATTTCCCCTTGAAAAGCTGGACAGCAATGACAGCAAAGATGAACATGAAGAGCTTGTAAACAATGAGTATGTTGAAGACATTCTTCAAGGAAGTCACAACACAGTCAAAGACAGCCTGCAGGAGAAAGCAAAACCAAAGACGTGATTCCCTGACGTGATTATGCTGGAAAACCAACATATTCTGGCTGAGTGTAGGACCAAAATTACCTAATGACAGGATGTTTTTCTCACTTCTAATACGGAAAAAATGCCACCACCATACTTTGCTCTAGGCAGCATCAGCTATTTTATAAATTACTGCAATATACCCCTCCAAAAAATCCTACCTAGGAGAGAACTACTCCATCAGAAACAGAAGCAGTTGTGAATATTTATAGTACATAGCATTCTTGGCAACTACAGCAGTGTACGAGAGACCTCAGTAACAGCTAATGACCACAGATTTGTTTAGCCTCACCTCAACTGGCAAGACTTCTCAGATAGAAGACTGGACATCTCTAATTATAGTAACATCAACACCTGACATTTTTTCATCCCTAGGCCTCAAAACACGTAACAAAGGAGGCAGCATCATTCGCCCTTTTTCACCAATGGGGAAACCTTGGCACAGAGAGGTAAATTGACTTGACCCTAGGTCAACTGGCAGGCCAGCAGCAAAATGGCATTTTTCTTTTAAAATAATCTCTAGAAAATAGTACTCTTAAGGTATCTGATTCTTTTAGGAAGTTATACATGTCAGTGCTTTTAGTTGCTTGTAAATATACTGCTGGGCTGGGCTTGGCAGGGGCCTCAGGTTTGTTTTAATACCAGCTTTCATTTATGACATAGAAAGTGAGAGGCTGCTACAACTGGAGTTGCCCTCTTGTTCTGTGTCTCTAGAGCATGTAGCACAGTATGGTCCTGGTGCCTGGCTGGGCTATCAAGGGGCTGCAACAACACACACAAGACCACATGGACTCCCCTGAACACTGAACTACACTGACCCACTGAGAGCTCTGGTAGTCAGAGCTCTGTTGTCAATCACAGGTGGAGAACTGGCATCTGATTTTAAAGGCTTTACAAAGTTGTTCCTGAAATGGGGTATTTTGTTTAATGTTGAGTCTGCATCCAGCAGACTCCACTGCATTTACTGATTTCATGTGGCATTCTGCACACCTAAGTCAGGCAGAACTACACAGACTGCAATAGGTACTCAGAACAGCTGTGGAGAAGCATCTATGCTGCCAACACTGTCATCACAGAAAAGGGGATCAGTAGGTTTGTAAGCTGCCTCGGTGGGAAAGGAACAGATCTTTAGATCAATAGTTGAATTTTCTTCCAATAAGCTTACCCCATTTCAGTATCCAGCATGTCGGGTTTATTTTGAGGCCACCTCTAGTTCCAGTAGCAGATTAAATAATCCCTATATATTATGGGTGTCTAATTGGGGTTCTCAAACCCCATGTTCAAATAAGCAAAGAAGCAGCCAAGCCTACTTTAACCAACTGGGTATCCAGAGATGAATTTTAAACAGCCTATTGGACTTAAGAGAGGCCATGTGTGAAAACTGGGCTTGCAAACAGCCTGTCAATCCACTGGTACAGTTTGCAGAATGCTTTGAGATGTTATGACAGGAACCCATACAAATACTTCTACTCTTTATGTACTGCTAGCCATAGAGAACTTTATACCTCTACGAATCAGTTAGTTTCTAAGGTGCTAGTCTGCCTTGCCTTCTGTACAGAGAACTAGTCTGTGCTCTAGGGCCAGGACCTCAAGTGCCATGTGAAAGAAGGTAGAGGGGAGGAGGAAAATATCTCTTTTAAAAATGGGAACAACCTGTGATGTTAACCTTCTTGGGGCTCTGCCATAATGCCAACTAACCCTGGGAAAAATACAAATGGATGCAGAGAATTGCAAGCATTACCTTGAGTTTGGGCAATCGCTTAATAGTTTTCAGCGGCCTCAGGACCCGCAGTACACGGAGAGACTTAATAGTTTTGATATCCCGGCCCTTGTTGGTCCTACAGAGTTTGAGAGAAGCAGGCACACCCAAAAACAAAACAAAAAGATAATAAACTTCCAGAATTTGGGATGAGCTTAGTGCAGTTTTTCAACAGCTTTTGTTATTTGTCAACATATGCATATACATGAGAAAAGTAGAGCTACATTCAAACGCAAATCTACTGGTGTCAGCTGTGTGTTACTTGTTGACATGACTCATGGTATTTAACATGTACACCAACAATGTTAATGAATGAAAAATTAGGACCTTGGATCAGATTTAGGTGGTCAGAGCATTAATCCCAACTCCAGGTTTAATGTAGTTTCCCTTTGCTGTGGAACAACTGCCCTAGCAAACCCTATTATTGTGAGAAACGGTGACATAACAAGGTTAAAGCAGGTGATTCAACACTCTCTCTGAGTTGTGCCATCTGCTTTGAAGGCACTGTGCCACACAGAATTCCTGGGGCATCACTACCTCTTGCTGCCTGCCAGGTTTGAACAATCTGTTTTCCTAGTGCAGACAGACTCCTTGGTCTGTGCCATTTTTAAGTGGGACTAACAAAATGCCACCGACCTTGCAATTAAAAAAAAAATGTTTCACTTGTAAGAATATTACCTATTTGTAATAACAACAATGCTCCGTGGTGGAAAAATGCAAATATTCAGCATGTTCCATCTACTGCACTAGCACTTATCTCTAATATCATCTCCCTCTGACCTTCAAAAAAATCTGATATTCATCTTAGAAAATTCTAGGCCATATCTTCAATTATTTCATGGTTGAAAAACCTCTGCTTGCTTGCTATTAAATGTGGCTGTAGCAAGCTGGGGTGTAGAACAGCTTTCATAATTACTCTGGAATGGTAATCTATAGCAGAGTTTTATACTATGTTTTTTTAAGGAAAAAAAAGGGGTCTTTGTTAAGGTAAGCCGTGGTTTAAAAACAGCAGGTTTTTAAAAATATATAAATAAATAAATAAGTTAAACCCAGGTGTAGCTAGCATAGTTCTGATCTTCAGATAATCAGAAATTTACTTTGTGCTAGCAAAACGTACAGGCTCTATGAAAAGAAATAGTACATTTTGTATCCATCTGGGATTTGGTGTACTTGAAAACCTCTAGCAAATAAACTTCTAACAAAGGATACTCCTAATTGCACTGCTCCTTTTGTAAGGATTAATACAATAGAAAGCACAATGATAGACCTGACTGTAAATAGATGTAAACAAAAACACTAATTAAAACTCTTCAATCAGAGTACCACCCCCCACACACATTTAAAACAACTGAACAAACATTGGAATTAACCCACTTTGTGTTTCCTCCTGTTTCCTACATCAGTCTGGAAGCACATTCTCACATTAGGTATTTGTGAAGCAGTTTCACAGGTAAACATGCCTGTCTAGATCCTCATCTGGCACAAATCGCCAGAGGACAATGGAGCTATGATAAGTTTAGATCTTGGGAGCATCAGAACCATTTATTTTAATGCCTACAAGGAAGTGTCAGGACACCAGGGAATGGTCTTCTGTGCCTATGGCTGTACAGTGCTCTTTGCCTTACCCACCAGCTGAAACCTCATTTGGATCCATCTGGGCTAGGGCATCTCAGCCCCAGACCAAGGCAAAGAACAGCATCAAGCAGCAGAGGTGGAAGCACAGGATCCATTCTCATTTAGCCCTATGTCAGGACAGAGAGAGGGTAGCCAAGGCACCTGTCTCCTCCCTTTGGTTACTTGCTAAGAATTTGCAATGGAAAAGAGAAAGAGTCTAGCTTGCTTCCTTCTTTGAAGGAGCAGAACAAAGGAATAGCTCATTACCAGATCTCCACTGCAGAAGAGGGCAAAGTACAAGGGAAAAGCTCAGCCTGCTAGGGTTGTGTGCCAAGCCTGAAACATGGGGCTGGTGTTAGGAATCTTCTTCCTCCATCTCTGCTGCGGTTAAGGAGAAGGGCAACTTGAGAGGGATTATAGCATCAGAGGAAAAATGTGTAATACTCTCCTTGGCTTTAACCCACAGCTAGGCAAGACTGTGCTTTCAGTTGGACTCCATATGAAGTTGTCTACTTTGTATGAAATGTAAGGGGTGATCAGACACAAGGAGCCTATGAAGGACCCTGTGAATTAAAACCATTAAGTTTCACATAGCTCTAACACACAAGCACACAATGGAGCTGACTGAACAGCACTCTGTCTTTAATGGGAGCTCTCTAGCACAGAGCACTTCATATTAACCACACAGTCCCCAGAGAACCTCTTGTAGATAAGTCACAGGGTGTTTCAGAAGCATTATGATTAGCAATTAAAGTGCCCTCTGGGAACAATGTTAAATCACTTCCCCCCACAGGAAAGGAATTAAAGTGTTTTTTTGGAGAACTTTGGGTTTCTTCCCTTTTTGGGGTTCCAATCTACACAAGTGGAGCTGTACAGGCTTAAACCAGCTGATGACTGACCTATGATTTGCTGCTTACTTCCACAACTTTATCTGACCAGCAGAATAACAAGATTTGGAATAGTTAGCCAATCAAGCCCGCTGGTTGGGTTAGCACTAGTTACTGAATAATGGGCAGAATGATAGTGCAAGTAACCCTGACTTCCTCTTGCACCAAGGACATGGTATGCTTCACCAGTCTCCATCATGTTCTTAATCCAAAATGCATGCACATAGGCTTCTGTGTGTCCTTCTCTCAATCTTGGAATAAGAGTTCCTCTTTTTCTCCTTGTAGTGGTCCTGCACATGTATCTGGTGATGTTGCATTTGAGATGCAATTAGTTGCAGGTGGCCGCATCCAGAGCAGGGGGCATGCAACTTTCATTGCTTAAAAAGTCCCCTGTGTGCACCAAGACCATTTTGAGGATGCATGCTAACAGGCGTTATCTGTCAGCCCCAAGTCTCACCATCTTTACCTTCTTAGTGTGTTGCAAAGCCATCAACAGTCCACACAGGTGATAAAGACATGTGCAAGCAGGACATCAGCTGGGAATAAGAAAACTTCAGACAGACAGACAGACAAAGCGGCTTCCCCAACAGCCATTTTCCCTTGTTGGTACCCCAAAGAGAATCAAAATGGTATAATTACCCCAAAGCATTCCTGTGGGTGATCCAGTCAGGCAGCCATAAAAGAAAACAAACAACAGGTGCAGAGAAAACAGAGAAGATAAGGAAATTCAAGGGAGCAAGAGAGCAAAGGAATAAAGGGATCAAGAGCTGCATCAGAGCGGAAATACAAGCCTCTCTCACAGCCTTGGCATTCTGATATTTCACATGTCAGCACTACAAAGTCCAGCTCTGCTTGTGGCTTCCAATAACTTAACCTGGATGTAAAAGGCAGTTTTTATATTCCTTGAACCAGAATCCCTTCCCAAGAACCACAGAGCCAGGCATTGCCCTCAACTCCCCAGAGAATCAGGAAAGACTAGTCTGGATTTTACCTGGTGTCCTCCCTTAACCCTCCATACTGATTCATGTATTATGAGTTCTGATGAGAAGTGGAAGCTGATTTGAAACTCTTGTAGTCGCTACTACAAAAGAAATTGCTGGATGATATCCTGGACTCAAGTGCTACTCCTTTCCCAACTGCAGAAAGCAGACAGAACAATGAATGACTCAAGTAGTTATCTCAGCTCAGTCTCTAAAGGAAATGTATATGGAATACCATGTAAAAATATTGAATGTTGTTCTCAGGAGTTCCCTGAAATTACTTTCTCCCTTGAACCACCACTGTGTCTGGCTTCTTCTCTGTTGGTCTGAAGATTGTTCTTTCTGGTTTGCTCAGAAGATGTCTAATTATGCATTAACTCTGTAAAATCTGAACTTACTAGGTTCTTTTGGCCTCCTGGCCATCAGATGTACTTCAGAATCAGACTGGGTGAAAACTGGGTGGACTATAAGGCAGTTTGTGTTATGGTGCCCAACCTTAAATCTTCTCCGCCTTCACGGTACTATTGGGAGGCATATTCTAGGGCCTCTACCTCTGAGCTCCAGATCTGGCTCAGATTTCAAGTCAGCTCAGTGCCAGGTCAATTTACCTGAACTCTCTGGCTCTGATGGAGGGTTCTGTTAGTTTCTAGTTACACATTTTATCTTCTAATTAAGCAGTCTCTCCATGGAGTACTGGTTTTCACAGCATTCTGAACCTGAGCCATACTCTACTTATGTTCTCTATTATGTGTAGATTTTTCATTATGTGGCTCATTTACCAAAGGAACTGAGCATCTCCCATGCCAACACCCCAGCAAAGGAGGGGGATATATCATCATTCCCATTTTACAGCTGGGAGAAATGGCACAGAAGAAATGAACGAGTTGCCCAAGGTCATGCAGACAATCTGTGCCAGAACCAGGAACTGAACCCAGATCTCCAAAATCACAAACCAGTGCCTTCACAACAAGACCATCCCCTTTCTGTGGCAGCTTCAAGTGGCAGAGTTGCTGCGGCAACTTCCTCTCTTGCTTCAGCTTTGGGAGGAGGTTCACTCACACAGTATCAAATAGCCAGCTACCTTGAGTTTCGTTAGGAGACATCTTGGGAAGGGGACTTGTCCATAGCCAGCAAAAGTAATAAGCTACTACCACTTTTTAAAAGGAATCTGCCTGGAAAACTCATAATCCATCTTAAAAATGTTGCTTCATGCTACTAAATAAGCCTACATGGATAAATCTATAGATTTGTGACAGATAACTAAGTTTTCTACTGCCTCGCTGGGGCTTTCTGGTTGGCCTGGGATACCGATAAAAACATCTCTAGAGCTTGGCTATGAGTCTGTTGTTGGATGCCACTACATTTTTTTCCTACCAGGCAACTTCAGCAAGTACTGGAGATGCTATTCTGTGTCATTGCCTCTGAATTAGACCATTATAATTTTTTGTGACCTTACAAAAATGCTGCAAAGATTCCAGCATGTACAAAACCCAAGGGTTGCTAGAATTTTTGCACACAGCATCACTGGCAAGTCAAACACCTCCTCTGGGGAGTACCAAGAGCTGCCTGTCAAACAGCAAGCTGATGTGAAACTCACTTTGATGATTTATGCAGTGGTGGATTGCCTGAGAGCCCTCTGAACATATCGGAGCCTCCATCCCTGCTTGAGCCAAGTCCCTGCTAGATATCTACTGATATCTCAGCACTGTTGTGAAATAGGTCACCATCTAATGAAGCAGCACACTGGGTTTTTTTTAACCGTTCTGCAGTAGAAATGCCGGTTCCCATCCCAGTCATTTTCCAGAATCCTGAGTTAACAGAATGATTTATAGATAGATAGAAAAGTGATCTTTCAATGCTGTAATTCCATCAGTGAGGATACAATAGAGACTTTGTTTTGACCTAGGCAGACAAGGTTCTTTGGGTAGATGGGATATCTTTTATTAGACCAACTAAATAGTTGAAAAAATTGTTCTTTGCAAGCTTTCAGGCACAAACACCCTTCTTCAGGCATAGGGAGAGTCTATTATTTTGACCTGGCTCTCCATGGGTTTACTATAAATTGGTTTGTTTGCCTAACTAAGCCCATATGTGACTGCTTTGTCAAGGAGCAGCTCAGGCCTGGAATGGCAGAGTGCGGTGTGAGTGACATCTGGGGTATAATAGGAGATAAAGAACGTAGCAGCAGGAGTAACAGGGCAAGACTAAGGACTAAGATACTTTAACAGGCCTGTGTGGAGATATTTGCTCTGCACCTACCTACACTCTCCCTCACATTGGTTCACGCCTTTAATGTAAACTGAAGTCACACACATCTCAAAAAACATGACAAATACCACATTAATGTGATTCCCAAACTGCTGCTAGACACATCATAGGTCACTGATATGCTGGGAGTGAGGATGCTGTTTGCTCACAACAGTAGCAAGAGAAATGCCAGATCTTCTGGACTGAGAGACCCGATACTGCCTTACCCAACATGCACCCATATATATTGATAAGTCTGATAAGACAATGGACCAAGCTCCCTGCTCTCAAGAGGAAGGGGACCTCAATGTTTTATATTGCAAATGTGTAGAAAATAGCTATCACGCTTACTGACGAAGATGTAAAACTGCAAAAAATGTTTTAAAAATCGTGCTACTCTCAATAATACCTAATAAAAGAGTATCATAAGAGACGAAAACAAGCATCTTGCTTACTTGGTGGTCTCCTGATTTTGCCTAGCTTATGCTGAAATTGTTTGGAGGTGGGTGATTTTATGCTGAGATGTTAAGTTAGGCTGAATTTGGATAACCATGTTAGCTTTGCAGGCACAGAAACACAAATAATGTGACTATAAGAATGATGACGCATGTTCGCACTGGAGATGCAGCAGGTTCTTGGGAAACAATGTGAAGTAGCAGAAGATAGGGCTTCACAGATGTGGGTTTGCCTGGATTCCTTTTTAATACCAACCTGCCTGGGGTTATTTCTTTGAAATTTTCACAAGAACTCACAGGGACTATGTGGCTGTTTTATCACAACAGACAGCCATTAAACTGTAAGACAGTGTGCTGTGCATATCAAAGCACTAATACCCCCAACATCTGACCTCATATCACAGATTATAGAATCATAGAAAATTAAGGTTGAAAGGGACCTCAGAAAGTCATCTAGTCCAAACCCCTGCTCAAAGCTGGACCATCTCCAACTATATCATCCCAGCTAAGGCTTTGTCTAGCCAGGTCTTGAAAACCTCCAAGAATGGAGATTCCACCATCTCTCTGGGTAACCTGTTCCAGTATTTTACTACCCTCCTAGTGAGAAAATTCTTCCTAATATCTAACCTAAACTTCTCTTGCTGCAACTTGAGACTGTTGCTTCTTGTTCTGTCATCTGCCACCCCTGAGAATAGTTTAGCTCCATCCTCTTTTGAACCCCACTTCAGCTAGCTGAAGGCTGCTATTAAATCCCCCCTCAATCTTCTCTTCTCTAGACTAAACAAGCCCAGTTCCCTCAGCCTGTCCTCATAAATCATGTGCTCCCGCCCCCTCACCATTTTTGTTGCCCTCCACTGGACTCTCTCCAATTTGTCCACATCCTTCCTGTAGTGGGGGGCCCAAAACTGAACACAGTTCTCCAGATGTGACCTCATCAGTGCTGAATAGAGTGCCGAATAGAGGGGAATAATCGCTTCCCTTGACCTACTGGCAACACACCTACCACTGCAGCCCAGGATGCCGTTAGCCTTCTTGATAACAAGGGCATACTGTTCACTCATATTCAGTGTATTGTCCACTGTAACCCCCAGGTCCTTTTCTGTAGAGCTGCTGCCCACGCAGCCTGTCCTGGTGCATGGGACTGTTCCATCTTAAGTGCAGGACTTTGCACTTGTCCTTGTTGAATCTTATGAGATTCCTTTTGGCCCAATCCTCCAATTCATTTAGGTCACTTTGAATCCTAACCCTACCCTCCAGCATCTCCCCCCAGCTTGGTCTCATCTGAAAACTTGTTGAGGGTGCACTTTAAGCCATCTTCCAGGTCATTGATGAAGACATTGAACAAAACAAGCCCCAGGCCTGACCCCTGGGACACTTCACTAGATACTGGCTGCCAACTAGACATCGAGCCATTGATTACTGTTCTCTGATCCCAGTGCTCCAGCCAGTTTTCTATCCACCTAACAGTCCACTCATCAAGCCCATACTTCCTTAGCTTGCCTGGGAGAATGTTGAGGGAGACCTTATCAAAAGCCTTGCTAAAATCAAGGTACACTGCATCCATCAGTCTCCCTGCATCCACAAAGCCAGTCACCTGGTCATAGAAGGCAATCAGGTTGGTCAGGCATGACTTGCCCCTGGTGAATCCATGCTGATTGATACTAATCACTAGGGCTGTGCAAAGCTTCAGTCGCTGATTCAGTTCAGCGGAGATTTGGCCCAATTCAGCGTCTGAATATCTAAATCCAAATTGAATCAGGAGACTCTTTAATCTCTCTGAATCGAATCAGAACCCTTCGAACCGATTCAGAGAAATTCAATGATTCAGACATAGACACAGCTTTAAATGTTTTTTCTACA